TTTTGGTCAAATTTGTCCTCGTTTTAACTAGAATCTTTCATATGAAAAGTTTTTATATTTTGGTTTTTACATGATTAAGGCATATTAAACAAGCTCCTATATTATTAAAGTTTTTAGTATAGCGTTCTAATATATTATTATAAACTTTCCTTTTTTATTTAATAGCTATATATGCGTTGAGTTTTTATTAGATTTTTAGGAAATTGACACATTGGGCGCATTTACTCAAACGAACACGGCTCCGTGTGAAGGTCTAGGATCAGTGTGAAAATTTTAAAGAATACGCTCCTCGCTTCTGGCTTTAATTTGGTTATTCTTGCGTTGAAATTTATGTCCGGATTCACGAACGCGAAGGGAAATTGTACAGCGCGCCGAAATGTAACTCCGTTGACGTCTAAATCATGGCAATTGACCCAAAATCGGCCCAAACTCTTAGTATTTAAGCATCGTCATTACTAACGTAATAAAGTATAACTAATATACTCTAAATCTTAATTTTACCCTTGATTGCGACGTTTTTAATAGAAGAAAAATGACTGCAAGCTTAGAAATTCAACAATATGCAAATAACACATTCGTATTAAAATTATAATTTTGAAGATAGCTTGTGCAAAATTTGAGCTAAATTAACCAGAATCTCTCATATGTACTATTTAAACACTTTGCTAAATATTTATACAAGTTTTATAATCTCAATTTTAGTTAATTTTAAACTATATAGAGGTAAACTATTCATTCTGAGTTGATTTGTAGAAATATGAGTGGTTCTGGTTAAAGCGAGGAAAATTTGACCAAAATTTTTTATAGGGCAAGTTTAAAATTTTTTCAAATTATTATAATATATAGCGTATTAGGGAATCTCTTTTTTTAGATATTGTTGGTAATATAGTATTTTAGTGCATTATTATAAAGTTTTCTTTTTTAAACAATGGATTTATAACATAATAACTAACTTATTTTAAAATTAAAATTTTGAACTGAGCTCACACAAATTTAAATCAAATTAACTAGAACCTCTCATATAGATAAAATATCATTTTAATAAGTTTATCTGAAAAATATAAATCAATTTAATTTTTGTAGTAAACTAGAAACATCAGACAAGAGCTTATATTCAATTAAAATATTAAATTTTAAATATAAAAGAGGCTAAAATACTTAAAACTAATAGAGTATATTTTAAAAATTTATATGCTATATCATATTTATTTGCAAACTTACATGGCGCAATTGAGTAGTAGATCCGACTGTTAACCGGGAGACTAGCGGTTCAAGTTCACCTGAGAGTGTAAATTAATTTTTATATTATTTAATTTTAAAACTGTTATATAAACTATATTTATTTCAATATACATGTTATAATATGCTTTTTATCCTTCAGCTCTTTTCCATTGCCAAAGATACCATGAAGCTATAGATCTATATGGCCTCCATACCTCACAAGCTGACTCCATATCTTTTGGACTGATTAATGATTTACCTTTAGGTGTTATATTGAAATATTTAAGTACTTTTTTCTTGATAACAAGGTCTCCAACTGGTAATACATCAGATCGATGC